GAGCGGTTCTGGGGGGCGCGTTGGGCTCATTGAGGGGCTCGTGGTGCATGCCGATAGTTTTGGCTGGCGATGAATCGGATCGCCCCCACACTACCCTGCTCACCGAGACTGATGCCTTTGCGGCTTCGGTGTCGAAGAGCAAGGGCACGTGGCTCAAGGAGAAATTCGTGGACCAGGCCGATGGTGCGGCCGTGGCCGAGGCGGGCTCGGACAAGAAGTTTCAATTGCAGCCCTTATTGCAGAGCAAGGGCGTGGGGGCCGAAGCGGGCTCGGAAGCGAAGTTCCAGGGCCCTGGCAGTGGCTCTGGTAAAACAGGTGTAGCAGGAGCAGCTCACGACATGGTGCTGTATATGGAAGACCAGCAGGCTAACACATTCGACCTGAGTATGGACGTGACTGAGGAGTTCCAGCAACAAGCTTTCGTGATTTGCCAGGGCGCGGGGCTGACGGCTGGGACTGTTGTGCAGGCCGATGGTGCGGCCGATGCCGACGCGAGCTCGGATGAGCAGATCCAGCTGCAGGCCCTCGCGCGTGCAGGGCAGGGGGGTGCTGCTCGTGCAGGGGACTGTGGTGCTGGCTGACGAGGCCAAAATCGTCATCGAGGGAGTCGCCAAGGAGTCGGAAGGGCGGCCTGGGGGGAAGCCGAGTCGTCGTCGGGGGAGGGGAGCGGCGGGGCCGTGAAGGAGTTGGCCGCGCGGGTCGGCGGGCCTGCTGAGGTGATCGAGCTGAGGCGGCGCCGCTGCGCCGTCCCGCTGCTGCACTCAGCATGGCACGGACTGTTCACGAATGTCCAAATGCCCATGTGTGAGCGCGTGCAGGTAAAGAAGCAGAAGTCAACGCTTGCAGATTCTGGTGCGTGGGCAGGCAGACGGCAATGCGGTGCAGGTGGACGTCTGCGCGTGGCGGAAGCTCTGCACGCAGGCGCAGGGCTCGCGACACCCCCCATGCTTCTTGATGAAGTGGTGCTTCGTGGTGAAGTGCCCAGGCCTGGTGAAGCTCGCCAGGTGGGACGAGCGTGGAGCGGGTGCGGCGCGCCTCCGCCCTCCGACAAAGGTCCCGCCAATTCCATTACATTCCTCATCCTCCTCCAGAGTTCCCCGAGGCTTCACCAGAAGAACAGGAAACGCTCAAACTGACTCCCTTGTCTTCATCCTCCTCTTCCTCCTTCTCCTCCTCGACCTCCTCCTGCATCCTCTGTAACTCCTCCCTGTCACACCCCCAGACGCGCCTGTAGAGTGGGCAGGGCGTTTCGTGCAAGACTTCCTCACCATTTGTAATCCTGAAGCTTCAGATTTGCATCAGTCCACGAAGGCGGGCGGGTCGTGTGCGAAATATGGCTCTGGCATGAGCGGCGCGAACAATCGTCTTAAAAGCTTGCAGCAGCTTTTCAGGGATGGAAAGCAGGTTCCTTCCAAAATTTGGCTCTCGCTTTGGCGTCGAACGCTTTCGTTTTGGACCTTTGCAGCAACTCAAAAGATGGAGAGCGCGGGTCGTTTTCAAAATGCGGCTCTCGCTTTAGCGCAATGCAGATTCGTCTGAAAAGGTTGCAACCATTGCAAACATGGAGGGCGGATCATTTTCAGAAAGTAGCGCTCGCCCTAGCGCCGTGCGCATTTGTCTTAAAAGCTTGCAACAACTTCAAGGATGAAAGCCACATCGTTTTAAACAAAGTGGTTTCCACATTGGCGCGGTGCACATCCGTGGTAAAAAGCTGCAAACATTGAGGGCAGGCCATTGTTGGACAATGTAACTCTCGCCCTAGCGACGTGCACATTCGTCGCAACAGTTCATCGCAGCCTCAAGAAAGGAGGGCGGTTCCGTTTCAAAATGTGACTCTCGGCTGAGTGCCACACACATCTGTTCTAAAAGTTTCCAAACGCTTGAGAGATTCGTATGTTTGAACTCCCAGCAATGGCTCTGGTGCGATTTAGGATTGTCAGGACGCCCCACAGTCAGGTTGATTCTCGGTGTTCATCTCTGAAGAATGATTCACGATTGCCAGGACGCAACAATCACGCTGATTCGGTGAAACCCAAGAACGGTGCCGTGGCACGAAGGATTATCAGACGGTTATCTTTCGATTAGATAGTCACTTCCTGCAATTCAAAAAAAATGTGAGGAGCTATGCAGAGGGAACTTGGAGGGAGGGGTTATTGCAACGTCGTTGATGCGTCTTGGGTTTACACTGGTCCTCCTCCTCCTCCCCTATCATCCTCCTCCTGATCCTCTGATCCCTTCCCCTCCGACAGTATGGCTCTTGTGACATGGCCCCGAGGCCCCTCGACCCCCCGACCCCCTCTCCGGGACCAGTCCTTCATCTTGGACCTGGGCCGTTTTTCTGGTGGCCCAGGGGCCTGAAACTGGCCTCGACAGGCCCAAAACGGCAGGATGCCGAGGCTCCCCGGGGCCGGTCGACGGCCTGTGCGGGGCTCTCGCGGCTGCGGCTGGCGGGCGCGCACCTGTCGGGTGCGAGGACGCTGAGGCCTCCGGAGGGCCCAGCCTCGCGGCGGAAGAAGGGAGATGCGGGGAGGAGGAGGAGGAGGAGGAGGAGGAGGAGGAGGAGGCCGAAGGGATAGTGACATCCGATGGTTGTTGAGGGCAAGGAGTGCACTACTATCTATCACACCAGGGTTGGTGATGGAGGTCATCGCCTGCGCACCCCCTCCCCTGGCAGCGCAGGATGTACCAACCTCAGAGTTGTACGCCTTTTTCATGGCCCTGTGTCTCATGGGCCCAATAATCACGATGATGGTCACGGACTTACCGATGGTGATTGGTGGGAGGCGGGAGAGAAGGTCACTACCCACCTAAGACGGGCGTACATGAAGCTTTGGAGGCAGGTTTGGACGAGAATTGACGACGTTGGGCAAGACAGCATCACGGCACCCAAAATTGCGGCGCACCAGTCGAAGAGAAGAGGTCACCTCTCAGCCAGAGAGTCGATCCTCATTTGTTGGGCAACGTGCGTGACAGGGTCAGGTTTCATCGTGATCAGGTGTCCCTCCTGGCGTCCAAATGGCGCTGGGCTGTCCATTTCGTCTGCTCCTCCCCAGCGGAGCTGACCCGGCTCACGTTTCGCAGCATCTCCCGCACGCGCTGCACGCGGTGGTCTCAACGCAGGTGGTGGGCGGACCGGCTCTCCCCGTCTCTGCAGGCCTTGAGAGCGGCGAGCGTTCACCCTGATTCCCCACTGTGGCGCTCTTCCCTGAGCCACCACGCGGTCTCCTTCGGGCTTCGCCTGGCTCCGCCTGCCCCCTAGGGCGTGGCTGGTGGCAGATGGTCTGACTGACCCCTCGGGCCGCCGTCAGGCGCGCCGCGATCACCCCCGCAATGGCAACTGTTCTTGGGTACCCTGCGATTGGGGGGGGGCTTTCGACGCGGCTGACTAGCGAGGCGGGCCAGCACGCCCTCCGGGTCGTGGCCCCGTGCCCCCTCCTCCAGCCCCGAGGCCAGAAGCCCCGACACGACGAGGAGGGGACCGACGCCATCTACGTGGAGGCCTCGAGCGCCCCCGCCTGGCGGGACTGGCGCCGCGGCCTGTCCCCACGGGATCGTTCGCTGCTTAGCGTCTAACGCCCCGGGGCTGCTCGGACGCCCACCCGCCGCGGCAGGAAGCATGCTAAGGCTTGCCCGCGGTGCCAGGAGCTCCTTTGCTCGGCGCGGCTTATGTGGGCCGCGTGCCCTCGCTTCGACGAGCCCCTGCGTGTCCCTACCAGCGCCCGGCTGGTTCCAGTTGGAGCGCTGCTTGTTCAAGTGGAGGTTCTGCTAGTCGCTCTGGTCGTTCCACTTGCGATGCTGCGTGTTCAACTTGAGGATGAGGTGTTTGCTGTCGCTGGGGGTATTCTTCCTGATGGAATAAGCAATCCTCCGAGCCGCGGCCCACTCGTGGTGGTAGCGTATCGGCGACGTGCCAGCTATCCCGTAGGCGTCGCAGCCGTTGTAGCCGAAGGCGCCGGCGTATCTTGTATCGCCGCGCGTGGGTCCTGCAGTCGCAGGCTCCACGCCGTTGGCGTTTGCGCGAGGCCAACGGGCGCCGAGCATGGCCATCCGCCCTTGCTCAGGCACCCCCCAGCCCCTTCGAAGGGGCTGGGCTGGAGGAGCCCCACCCGCGAGAGACAGCGGCGGCGTGAGCCAAAATGGCTATGGTCCTCCTCCTCCTCCTCCTCCTCCTCCTTCTCCTCCTCCATTCCTTCTCCTTATAGATCACTCCTCCCCCCGAGGCCAGTTTTTAGGGCGGGCCGGGCGTTTCGCCTGAGACTTCCTCACCACTTATGACTCCGAAGCTTAAAAAGTGAAAACAAGTTCACAATTGGAAGGCGGGTGGTTTTCAAAATGTAGCTCTCGCCTGAGCGCCGCGCACAGTCCTTGTCAAAATTCGCAAGAGTTTCACGGATTGAGGGCGGGTCGTTTTCAAAATGTGGCTCTCGCCTGAGCGCCGCGCACATTCTTTTTCGAAATTTGCAAGAGCTTCACGAATTGAGGGCGGGTCGTTTTCAAAATGTGGCTCTCGCCTGAGCGCCGCGCACATTCATTTTAAACATGTGCACGAGCTTTCACGGATTGAGGGCGGGTCGTTTTCAAAATGTGGCTCTCGATTTAGCGCCGCGCACATTCGTTATACAAATTTGAAAAGAATTTTACGGATTGAGGGCGGTTCCTTTTCAAAATTTGGCTCTCGGTTTAGCGCCGCGCACATTCGTTTTCAAAAATTTGCAAGCGCTTCACGGATTCCCAGGATCAACGTACCAAAAACGCTGTTTTGGAAGGATTCAGGATTGTGCGTGTGCAACAGTTAAATTGATTCGCGGTGTTGGAACCCCAAAAATGCGTTATGATATGGTTATGGATCGCACAAACGCAGCAGTCAGCTTGATAAGTGGCGTTGAAATCCCAAGAACCGTGTTTTGGCATGCTTCAGAATCTTCAAACGGTTTTCTTCCAACGAGGCAGTTCCCCCACTGGAAACAAACCGTTGTAGGGGCCTATGAAGAGGGAACTTGGAGGAAGGGTTAATTCCAACATCGTTGATGACCCTTGGGTTTACACTGATCCTCACCCTCCTCCTCCTCCTATCCTTATTCCTTATTAAAATATACTCCTACTCCCCCCTCAGGCCGGCAGATAGGGGGCCCATCCGGGTGGTCCCATCCTAACCTGTAAAAAACAATCCAAAATCAACATTTTTCTTATTTTTTCCTCTCGACATGGACGTCCTGTCGTCCACGGCGATAATCCATTGCAAAAAATACCACAAAGAGCACACGCGCGCGTTCATGTCAGAATCCTACCGAACACCGTGTGTTTGCAAGCATTTCAACATAAAAACATCAAAAACCCGATGCTTTTTCACAAAAATTCTACAAATGTCCTGCCCTGGCTCTCTTGCTGAAATCATAGGAAAACCATAGGAGTCTTAAGAATTCTGTCAAATCCAGCGATTTCACGTCATCGCGCGGTGAACTCGCGATGCTCTGTCATGCACCCAGGCCGCGAATCCTGTGCAAAAAATACCACGCGGGCGACATGCGCGCGCGTCGCCGCGAGCGCATGCTCAAATCCTTCTAGAGTCGTCGCCGTCATTGGCACCGTCGCATGGACGTCCTGTCGTCCACGTCGCAAAATGCATGGCAGGAATGGGACGCGGCGCACACCCCGCGCCCGCCCATCCAATCCGTCCCATTCTAATCTGCAAAAGACAATACACAGTTTTTGTTTTTCTTGACAACATGGTCGTGCTGTCGTCACGTCGCAAAATGCGTGGCAGGAATGGGACGCGGCGCACACCCCGCGCGAAGGGGTGACATGTCGATCTCGCCTCGGCGCCGCGCACCAACGCCTGCGGTGTACGGGCCATTCTCGACTCGTCTGGCAATGCGTGCGCGGCATTCAACACGCGCTCGCCAGTTCCCGTCGGCAACCGCCATCGCGGCCGCATCAGCTGTACCAAACCGGCTGGCCGGTGTGACTTCGGCCCCCAGTTGTGCCAGCTTTGCTTCTTATGTTGAGGGAGGGCGGGTGGGACTGGGCATGCCATGCTTGACTCGCTCGAGCTGGCTAGCTTGACTCCTACTCCTACTCCTCCTCCTCCACCTCCTCCTCCTGCTCCTCCTCCTCCTCCTCCTCCTCCTCCTCCTCCTCCTCTTCTGTGGGGAGTCCGAGGAAGGCCGCCTGGGTGAGTGATCGCTCGAGAGGAGGCTCGAGGCTTCGGCCCCTGTGGGCCTCGGGCGGCTCCCGGAACGATCGGCGGCCCTGTTCGGCAGCGCTCCTGAAACGAACGAACGAACGCTTGAGTCGTGCGAGCTCCAAGAGGGATCCCGCCCGAGTTCATCAGGGCATGACGGGAAGGACATGGCCTCAGTTATCCTTGAGGTAGTTCTCGGGTCTTCCCCATAAAGGTTCGGATGCACGGTCCGCATGCCGCCGCACAGCCCATGTCGGCACGCACCTGACATGGATCGTGCCCCACAGGGAGATCCACGTACGGCCCCAGCCAGAAGGCTCGCGGGCGTCCCAAAGCCCATTTCGGGACACCCCTCACACGGATAAGGCCCCACAGACCTCCACCGACGGCCCCAGAGGAAAGGCTCGCATGGCGTCTGTCCCCATATTTCGCCACCCCTGACGCGGAGCGTGCCCCGCAAGGAGCTCCGTCTATGGCACCAATGGGAAACTTCGCCTGACTTCTCCACGCCCGTGTAGGCGTACGCCTCACGCACTTCGCGCTCGGGCCTCAGGAGTTCAGCGCGCCTCTGCGCGCTAGCTCCGCAGCAGCCTCCGATCCGTACTACATTACGGCGCGCAATATATCAAGAGAGGGTCGCGCCCAGAGCTACGCGCAGCTGCGTAGGGTTGGGTTCTTCGCCAGGCTTCGCCAGGCTAGTCGTTTCCATTTCTGCCCCTGCATACACGCATGCATACAACTAGACGCACATGTACAAGTGCACGCGCATGCATGAATGTATATGCATATGCATACATACGTGTATACATGCATGCGTACAAACCCACATGCGCAAACGCATACAGCACGTAAGAAACAGTTGCACGATATACATGCACATACGTATACACATACACCCTCGCACACACACACACACACACACACACACACACACACACACACACAACAGCCAGCGTTCGCTCCAAATAGATTAGACGACTCACATCAATAACTCAGAGGAATCAAGCGTGCTTGGAGTCCGCAACCAAGCAAGCAAGCAAGCGTGCGAGCTAGCGCGCAAGCAAGCAAGCAAGCAAGCAAGCAGCAATCGTGCAACCGCGCAAGCAAGCAAGCAAGCAGGCATAGGCGTAGGCATAGGAGTTTGGGGGAGGCATAAGAATAGGCATAGGCATAGACATAGGAATTAGGGGGGCATAGCAAGTAGGGGGGGCAATGGACTAATTAGCAGGGTTTGAGCTAGGACTCCGAGAGGGCAAGACTATTTGGATAACAGAGAGAACAACACAAACCATATACAAGCAGCGGCTGTGCCTGGGTCG